GCAGAGATGAGTAATTGTGAGGGAGGCTTATGGCCTGGAAAGCCTAAAATATTATAGAAAAGTTTGCCGACCCATCTTCCTGATGGACAGACCAAGGCTCAGAGGGTTGACGTGTCTGGTCTAACTTGTACAGCATTTGGAAGCAGAATCATAGTTCAAACCTAGGTTTTCTAACGTGTCGAATGCCTTGGGGTATGGTTTCCCCTATATTTTTGCCCCTTTGAAAGAATGATGCTATATAACAAAGAGCTAATATGCAAATGGTCATCACGCTGTCACACTGTCATGCTGGGGCTGGGGGAACTGAGGCCAAGCCAGGGGACCTGAAGCCCCACCCCCTGCCCCAGCGCCCGGCCGGGGGACCTGAGGCTGTGCCCCCCGCCCTGCGGGGCTTGACGGGGGTGGGGCCGGCCGGGTCTGGGTCTCGCGCAATTTCGAGGAGTGCCTGGGTGGGCGGGGACTTGACTCTGGGTCCCACAGCGCACCCCAGACTCTGTCCGGAGGGAGATTTTCATATACCTTTTACTAATTTTCTTTCATCTCTGACACTTGTATTATCGGGAAAGGGCAAATAGCAATATTAAAATATTTCCTCTAATTAATTCCCTTTTTTTAAAAAAAATATATTTTATTGATTTTTTACAGAGAGGAAGGGAGAGAGAGATAGAGAGCTAGAAACATCGATGAGAGAGAAACATCGACCAGCTGCCTCCTGCACATCCCCTACTGGGGATGTGCCTGCAACCCAGGTACATGCCCTTGACCGGAATCGAACCTGGGACCTTTCAGTCCGCAGGCCGACGCTCTATCCACTGAGCCAAACCGGTTTTGGCTAATTCCCTTTTAATGTGCATGAATTTTGTGCACCGGGCCACTAGTTTTACTTATAAAGTGCTTATTGTCTTCCCTGTTATTGTAAGTACTTTCCTTGTATTAAATCATTTAACCTCCATGTTCAGATTGGGGTGAGGCAGGAGCTGGTAAACAGGGGCCTGTGGCTGAATCCAGGCAGCTGTTCATTTTTGTAAATAAAATTTTGCCCTGGCTGGTATTGTTCAGTGGATAGAGGGTTGGCCTGCGGACCGAAGGGTCCCAGGTTTGATTCCGGCCAAGGGCATGTACCTCGGTTGCAGGCTCTTTCCTGAGCTCTAGTCGGGGATCGAGCAGGAGCAACCAATCGATGTGTTTCTCTTACGTCGATGTTTCTTTCTCTTTCCCTCTCTCTTTCACTCTCCCTAAAAATCAATGGAAAAATATCCTTGGGCGAGGACTAACAATAAATAAGTAAAGTTTTGTTGGGACACACCACGCCCATTTGCTTCCTGTCTTTGTAAATAAAGTTTGAGCCCATCCATTCAAAGGTGGCTCCTCTGTGGCTCCCAGGAGGGCAGAGACGAGCAGTTCCCACAGAGCCCGTAGCAGCCTAGCAAGTGTGAACACATGTTGTCTGGCCCTTTACAGAGAAGGGCCTGGTGGTGCTGGGACTGCTGATCATTTCATCATCGTGAAATATTTCTTTTTCGGAGACAGCAGGCTGCACAGGTCACAGAGCCTGGGAGCGAACTGTGAAGCCTGGAGAAACGTCTGCAGACCCTTCTCCGAACGCTGCACAGACAGCAGTGTGTCTCGTGCAAATGTGCAAACCCCAGGCCTGCCCCCTCTGCGGAGTCACTGCCTGGCAGGGCCTGGTCGTAGGCAAAGGCATGAAGCCAGGATGGAGGCGAATGTGGGAAAGACCAGCCTGGAACACACTAGTCTTCCCAACGTGTTGACTGAATTGATGAGATCCCGTTCGTTGAGGCCACAGTCGTACCAGGAGCTGCTGTCAGGGCGCCTGACAGGTTCCGCCTAGAGCTGCACCCAGAGACCACTCCGGGGAAGGACCCAGGACTGCCCTGGGCACGGCTTGTCCTCACAGCCTCCTGACCTCAGAGACGGCACCGGAGGCCCAGCAGGTGAAGAGCCCCCAAGGAACAGGTGTCACCCAAGGACAGGTTGACAACAAGAAACAGAAAGGGATGCCTCTACATGGCTCAGTGTGCTCTGTCCGAGTCTGAGCCTATAAATTCAAGACTTTCACAGACTAATCGATATTCCCTCCTCCTCCCGTTCCCAGAGGAGCAACCGTGTGTCTTCTTGGCTCTTTAGCGAAACATGCCCAGGAAAGGAACAAATCGAACCCCAAGTGGAATCGCTTTCCAGAACTGGAACCAAAGGTAACCTCATGGCATTTTGAGAATTCAATAAAACTACAGTAACTCAACCCAGAGAGGCGTGTGCGCATCGAACTGTGAACACACGGACAGAGGGTCCGGGAGGCGGCACCGTGTGTGCTGTGTAGCGTCCTTTTCGGCCGTAAGTAGGTGTTTGCTGTGATGCAGAAAGTGATGTCTCATAGGATCGAGGAGCTTTTCAGAGCGTGGGCGCTAGGCTTGCTTCTGAGTGACGGCCTAGCAGACCCACAGCAGCGCCTGGTACGACTGTGGCCTCAACGAACGGGATCTCATCAATTCAGTCAACACGTTGGGAAGACTAGTGTGTTCCTGGCTGGTCTTTCCCGCATTCGCCTCCATCCTGGCTTCATGCCTTTGCTTACGGCCGGGTCCCGTGTGCAGCTGCCCCTTTCGACTCTGGGCGGCTCCCCGCGGCCTCGGCTGGCCAGACGTCAACCCTCCAAGCCTCAGTCTCTCCATCAGGAAGATGGGTCAGGGCGGAGGAGGAAGGGCTACTCATCCCAGGCCTTCCTGTTCCAAGGGGCCAGTTTCATGGAACCCAGATGCTCCAGTCACTGACTGCCATGGCCATGGCGATGGCGATGGCCCAGGCCCAGGGGCCGATGTGGAGCCGTGCAGATGTGGTATCTGCTTCCCATCAGCACGTGTAAGATGCACGTCTTTGACTCCTTCTGGGTCCATCATGAAGACGCTGGCGCCAGGCGAGCCTGGATGCGAGGCCGTTGGAGAAAGTCACACCTTCGTCTGCTCCAAGCCAAGCGCTGAAGCCAGGCTTTTTTTTAAAATTTGTTTTTATTGGTTTCACAGAGGAACAGAGAGGGAGAGAGGAGAGAAGCATCAGTGATGAGAGAGAATCATGGATCGGCTGCCTCTTGCACGCCCCACACTGGGGACCGAGCCCACAACCCAGGCCTGTGCCCTGACTGGGAATCGAACCGTCACCTCCTGGTTCATAGGTCGACACTGAGCCACACCGGCTGGGCCAGGCTTGTTGTTAATGAAACGATTCAGTTCACACAGACGGCATCTGGTTGGTGGAAGCAGCCTGAGCTGTTACCTACTTGTCTGAGTCTCAGTTTGCTCCTCTGTCCAGCAGGGACGAGAGGACGGACAGGGACTATCTTATCGGATCTCGGGAAATGAGGGAGAGACAGTGAGTGAGATGCTCTGATAAATTATAATGTGTTACGCAAGGCAACATGAACTGTCAATAAAACCACAACAATAATAACTCCTGGGAAGACTTGCAGTGCGCAGCGCAGATAGGCTTCTCTGTGAATGCTCTCAGGATCCGAATCGCCGCTGCCGGCAGGTGCAGCACGAATTAGCCTCCATTCACCAGGTCAGGGAGACCTGCTAGGTCCTCTCACCCATTGATCGAACCTGTGTGAGCATGTTCAGGCTCACAGGTAAAAAAATGAGTGGAAATCAGAGTTTTCATACATTCCCGCCCCCATGATTTCGCCCACTAAGAACGCCTTGCATTCGTGCGGTGCACTTGTTACAATGAGCCGATGCCGGTTCACCGCTGTTAACTGAATCCCGTAGTTTACATTCCCTGGGTTTTGGCAAATGTGCAGTGACATGCGTCCACCCTTGTAGCATCACACGGAGTCGTTTCACGGCCCTAAACACCCTGCACACACCTACTCGTCCCTCTGTCCCTCTCCCTGGACTCCTCGCAGCCACTGAGCTTCTCCTGTCTTCCTAGTGTTGCCTTTTCCAGAATGTTCTACAGCTGGGATCTTATCCCTTGGTACGTCATAAGTGTCTATAAACGCAACTAAATTCAAAATATCGTGGCGTGTGGGGATGGTTTCCGTTTTGGGCGCGTGGCAGTTAACTGGTTAATAGTCTGTGGTCTTTTGATACCGGCTTCTTTCATTAGTAACGTTCACTGGAGTTTCCTCCACGTCCGCTTGTGTCTGGAGAGCTCACTTTTCACGCCTGAATAACCTTCCACTGCCTGCCTGGACCACAGCGATGCGCCCGCCACCTGCTGCGGGCAGGCTGCCTCCACGGCGGCTGTGGTGAGTGCACGGCGCAGGCTCCCGGCAGGTCTGTGAGCTCCTGCGCGGTCAGCTCCTCTGGGGGAGCAGCCGGGAGCCTGGCCGCTGGGTCCCGGTCACAGTGTTTCCTCCTGAGAAACCACAACCTGTCTCAGGGTCAGTGCCATCTGCATCCCCACCCGGGAACGCGCACTCCTGCTGCTCCACATCCCCCCAGCAGGGGGCGGTGTCGTGCTCTGGAGGTCAGCCTTCCTAACAGGTGTGCAGGCCTCCTTGTTTGTTAGTTTTTTAAATTTGTTTTTATTGATCTCAGAGAGGAAGGGAGAGGGACAGAGAGAGAAACATCAATGATGAGAGAGAATCATGGACCGGCTGCCTCCTGCACACCCCACGCTGGGGATGGAGCCCGCAACCCGGGGCCTGTGCCCTGACTGGGAATCCAACTGTGACCTCCTGGTTCATAGGTCGATGCTCAACCCCTGAGCCACGCTGGCCAGGCTCAAACCTCACCTTGGTAACGGGGCTCCTGGCCGTTGCCCTCCGAGCGTGGCCTGTGGCCGCGAGTGGGCTGGGTGCCTGGTGCTGCCCAGGGCGTTCCTGCCGACTGGGGTCACACTGTGTGTGCCAGTTCGCGGGCACAGCCAGGCCCGATTGGGCCACGCTGAAGACATTCCTGTCGTGTGACGCAAGCCTGCTTGTATTTTAGGTTTGCCAGGACTAATGAGTTCGAGCATTTGGCCTCTCCGCAGTCGCTGTTCATCAATGCCTCTGACAGGAGGAGGGCTGCACCCGCCCTGCTTTTTCTAGAAGCATGACCGCATCCCCGCTGTCGGGGAGGCGAGGGCAGGAGGGGTGGCAGCGGGAGCGGAACAGGAGGCCCGGGGGACACGGGTTTGGGACAGCAGGTAGCGGAGCGGCGGGCAGCTGTCGCTGCTGCTCAGACCGCCAGTGGCCGCGGCAGGTGCAGGGCTCTGAGTCTCTGCTCACAAAGGCGCCGGGCGGCCAGCAGCGCTGCCCTGGATTACCCGAGGGCACACACCCCGCCGAGTGAGGTAAGGAACAGGTGTGCCCGCCGCTCGCTCACCGGGCGGGGCACAGCCGGCTGGCCGAGCTCTGCCGGCCGAGGAGGGATGGGAAGGCATCTGCTCTCGGCCCCTGGTCCACACCGCGTCCCCGACTTGGCCGCCGCCACCCTGGAGGCACAGATGTCTCCTTCGTGCGGGGAGAAGGCCCGTGTCTGTGTGTCACCTCCCTTCCCATCTCTGGAAGCCACAGAGCTGGGCGGACTCCCCGGTGCAGGACGCGCTGGGAGCCCCGGCCAGGAGGGAGCCCAGCTGCACATCCTTAGACGGGGCGACGATGTGGTCTGTGGACCATGACTTTTTTCTTTTAGCCACAAGGTCCAGGGGGTTTTTACAGTTTGTTTTGTTAAATGTGAGACAGTCTGTTCTGCTCCCGGGAGCAGGTGGCTTACAAGACGCTGGGTTCCAGGCAGACCGGGCTGCACAGGAGTGAACGTCAGGGCTCAGAGGAAACGCTCCCGGGTCGAGAAACAGCGATTCCCGCCTCCCTGTCCCCAAGTTGGATGCTTCATGTTCCCACCCTCTTCTAACTTAGAGGGACAGGACGTGGGTGCCCTGGGAGCCATCGCTCTCTGCTGTGTGAAACGAATGGGCCGAACGCGATTCTAACTTCGTGATAAGCAGTTGGTGTTTCCCCCAAAAGCTAAACAAGGTGGAAAAAAGCCCGTTTTCTTTCCACATTCTGGGCGAGATGGTTCCGTGTAGGTCACGTCTCATATACACGCACATATGTATGCCTTTGCTTTGGCTCTATAAATAATTGTGAAAACAAACCCAATGCTCTAGGCACTATTTTTAGGTGGAGAAAAGTTATGGGAAAGACTCAGGGCCCTTCCTGTGAGAAAATGCTCTGCCCAAGTGGTTCCCAGAACCCCGCGAAGGGCGCTGAACGATGATTTATATTTTGCCATTTTTGGAGACATTTTCCTTAAAATATCCTTCAGCGCTTTTTGGTTTGCTGTCTACATGGGAAGGAAAGTAGAGGGTTTAGGGGAAACATGACTAAAAATAGAGAAGTTAAATATATGTATTTAAGGAACCAAGATATTTATAACAATATCTTTTCCCGGTGCCAGTGAACCAGAGCGATCACACATCTCGGTTTGGATGATTCGGGCGAAATGATCTTATTGTGACAAATGTACTTGCCCACCTGAGCCCATCTCATCTGTCGGCTATTTTCCTGTTCGTTCTGCCCTCGTTCATTAATTAAACGGTAATTTAATGGATGAGGTAGAACATCAGGATGTTTGCAGGTTTTGTGTTTTGAACCGTGCAGGCGAAGACACGCAACCTCAGAGATGCTGGCAGATTCACAGGGAGCGAGTCCGATGTTTAACGCACCTGCTGTTCATACGATGCCCGCGGGGTATTTTAAAACAGTCCCTGTTACTCTTCAACGGATCCCGATGCTCCTCCTTTGCCACCTGATCAGTCGTTCACTCCCCATAGACCCCGGAGCGTGGGAAGGGAGCCCAGTCTAATGGCGACCCCCCCTGCCCTAGGACTTCTCCCCTCAATGAAAAACGAGGTGCAAGACCTGGAGGGGCCAGGGCTGGGCTGGTCAGTGTGAAGGATGCGGTGAAAGTCCTGTATATGTCACTCTAGGTGTATGTTACAAAGCAGCATTGTCAGGTCAGAAAGAGGACTTGAAATGGGGCCGGGACACTGGATGCAGCGAAGGAAGGCTGGGGACTGGGCCATCTTTACAATAAGAAAGCGACGCTTCACCACGCACCCCCGCCCCCCCCCCCCCCCCCCCCCCCCCGCCAAGGCCCCGCGGGTGGCAGAGACCTGGGCAGTGACGAAGCCTCTTGTCCCCGCAGCTGGAAGACCCGGGGGACGGCCGCGGCTCCGGCGCCCACATGCTCAGCACCGCCAGGGTTCCTGCGGACCGGCCCGTGCGCATCGCCTTCAGCCTCGGCCAGGCCTCAGGTGCGCCCCCCATCCCCGCACCCCGCTGACCTTGACCTCCTGACCTCCATCAGGTCCCGGCTGGGTGGCTTCCCCGTCTCTCATTCTTTGGCCGTTTTAGTCCATTTTCTCTTCTTCCTTCCCCACGTCAGCTTTCTTCTGTTAGAGAGTCGTGGGCTGCACTTTCCGACCACAGCCCAGCGGGTCGCTGCTCAGTCGGTTGAGAGCTGGTGGTCGGCGGGTGTAAAAACACCGCGTCTCGGTCTCGGCTCCAGCAGCGTCTCCTGCAGCTGAGCTGCTGGCAGGTTCCCACTCGCGGAGGGAGGGGTGGGGAGGTGAGGCGGGTGGTCGTGGGCACGTGAGGTGGGTGGTGTGTGGGCAGGTGAGGCGGGTGGTGTGTGGGCAGGTGAGGCGGGTGGTGTGTGGGCAGGTGAGGCGGGTGGGGTGTGGGCACGTGAGGCGGGTGGTATGTGGGCAGGTGAGGCGGGTGGTGTGTGGGCAGGTGAGGCGGGTGGTGTGTGGGCAGGTGAGGCGGGTGGTGTGTGGGCAGGTGAGGCGGGTGGTGTGTGGGCAGGTGAGGCGGGTGGTGCGTGGGAGGCCAGGCGGCCTTCTCCAGGTGGCGAGGTTGAGGCGAGGCAGCCTGCACAGAGCTCCCTGTCACACTCCCCTCAGGGCCTCTTCACACACCTGGAATCGCACCCCCTTTGACACGGATCTGGGGTGTGGTCACGGCGGTGACAAGGGGAGGCGTGCATGTCCTCGGCCAGTGTCCTATCCGTACTTGTCACACATAGGACGTCCCCCCAATGAACACACACTTGGAGTAACTCTAAAGGCAGTGCTCATTAAAATACATTTCACTTTCAAAATTGAGGTGTCAGCTGTGAAAGTGTGCGTACATGTTTGGGGACACCCTGCTATGGTGTATATGTTATGTATGTGTGCACACACGTGTACATATGTACACACATATGACATGTAGGCCCAGGCGCAAACAGCGTGGCCACCTAGACCTGTCTTTTGAGGGCTGGTTGCCTCTCTGCCACTCCATCCACCGACCTGTCATCTCCCGTCACCCCTCTGTCCTCCCGCGGTGCCCTGTGGGTGACACTGTGACCAACAGTGACCGAAGAGGGACGGGTCCATCCCCAAACGATGCCGCCCAAGGAGCTGGCCCTGAAGCCCCTGACCCGCAGCCCATCTCCAAAGGCGCCTCCTAACGCGGGCGCCCGGGCAGGGCTGGCGTTGGCCCACCTTTCTCCAAACAGGCACCCGAGAGCCCCCGTCAGAAGGGTCCGGCCCAGATGGAGCCGCGTCTGCAGCCGGGTGTGTGCAGGGCCTGGCTGCGCGGGAAGAGGCTTTGCGCATAGTGGGGCGCCCTGGGACTCCCGGGTCAGGGTGTGCAGGTCACGCCGGGCAGCTCTGCCCTCCTCACGCCGCTGCCCTTTGGATTCCAGTGCGTGTGGCGCACACACCCCGAGTTCAGGGGAGCACCCAGACTGTCACAGGACGTGGGCACCGCGGGGGACTGTGGGAGCAGTTCATGGCCTTGAACTTATTGTTGAGGAGTCAGCAGAGTCCACGAGAAAGGACTCCCTTTTGCTGTCAATGTCGACTCGTTCATTTCTTAGGAGCCTCATTCAGTGCCCCTTCCCTCAGCCACGTCAGGCCTGCTTTCTTCCTCTCTCCACCTCACCCTACCCCCTACCCCTCTCCCCCCCTACCCCCTAGCTGCCCGTCCTCCCGTCCTCCCCCTCCTCCCCCTCCTCCCCTTCCTACCCGTCCTCCCCTCCCCTCCTTCCCCTTTCTCCCCTCCCCTTCCTCCTCCTCCTCTTCTCCTTCATATTTCTCTGAGATGAATTGAGATAGAGATTAAGAACATAGAGCTCTAGCCTCAGCAAGGCACGAGCTTCTAGACCTATTTCCATCACAATGTTTTTGATTTTGTGTAAGTCACTACACTTTGCTGAACTGCAGTGTTTGGTGAGATGTGTGAGATGACTGACAGCTGTGAGGCTCGCGTTAGCCCTGTGCAGGCGAGGTGTCGCCATGTGCTTCACGCAGATTCAGTCTCAGCTGTCCCTGCACCTGCATCTCACCCGTTACCCGCTGTCGAGGCAGAGGCACAGGACCAGTGGCCACTGCGTTTCTTGAGGCAGAGAGTGGGGCGGTCTGTGATGCACGGAGCAGGGGCAGCCGCTTCTGGGAGAAACCTGGTCGGGAAGAGCAGGATGTGTTCCATAAACCAAAACTCTCGCCCCTGGAGCGAGGGCTGCATAGTGGGAAGTGACCGGCCGTTCCCCGAGCCTCTCTGACCCAGGAGGACGATGTTGTTGTACCCATTTCACGGACGTGGACAGTGGGCTCAGGGAGGGTAACTTGCCTCAAATGGCAGCCAACAAATAGCATTAAAAAGGGACTCAGCCCGTTTGGAGGTGGGTCCTGTCATAAAAGAGAAGCCCGGCCCAGCCGGTGTGGCTCAGTGGTTGGGCATCGACCTGTGAACCAGGAGGTCACGGTTCGATTCTGGTCAAGGACACAGGCCCGGATGATGGGCTCGATACCTGATGTGGGGCGTGCAGGAGGCAGCCGGTCCATGATTCTCTCATCGTTGATGTTTCTACCCGTCTCTCCCTCTCCCTTCCTCTCTGACATCAATAAAAACATTTAAAAAATAAAAGAGAGACACACAAATGCTCCTGAGAGCAGTGTCCCGATGGCTGTGGGGAGTGACGGAGGAAGGTCAGTTCTGATGTTTTTAGAGGAAGAAGGAGGGGACGTAGAGGTAAATTCCATTTGATGGTGAACGACTTCCAAGGGGCTCTTGAAGCAGGTGTTTCTGGGCAAGTATGTGCTGAGCTAAATTAGTAAAAACATTCTTGCAGGAGGATAAATTGATAAGAATCACAATGTGATAGCAGCAATAATGGCGACCAGACGGCTGCTCCTAAGAAACGTGAAACCTGCGCTCAAACCTGACCCGGTTCCCGGTGGAGAGCGCCGCGGTCTGTTTGACGCTGGACCTTGTTGGCCTGACAGTGCCAGGTCCTGGCTGAGGTCACATGACGATTAATATTAATATTAATGATCAAGAATTGGCAGTCTGCCAGGTGTCATGCCAAATCTCTACCTGTATCCACATCTGTATCCATATTGAGAGCCCCATGTGTACCTGTATCCATACTTTTGATTTTATGCACCTGGAAGCCTAGTGTGGATTAGAGGATTCACATCTCCGATGCTTAGTAAGCAGGAAGCAGAGATTGAAAAGAGCCTTTGATGTGTTTCAAAGCGATGTGATGCTCTATGAGAAGCTAGGCATCCAGACCTTTAAAGAAAGTTGTTTGATATATTATTAACGTGGGATGGCAGCCTTATAGCACTTACTTTATTTCTATAAATAAAACATTAATCTCAACTTGGATTTAAAATGAAAGTGCCCAAGTCCTTTTGTGCATCAGTTAAATTTGGGGCAATATTTCATATAGAAAGTGTTTGCTTTGATAGGAGAGTATCAGGGAGACCGTTCTACGTTGAGATTTAAATGAAGAGAGTACACCCCAGGCCCAGGGCGATGTCCCTTCACTGGCCTGGAGCCCAGGAGGCAGGGCTCTGTTCTCTGTGATTCGGAGGAGGAACGAGGGCAGCGTCAGCCACTGTGGGCCGAGCGCGAGCGCACACACACACACACACACACACACACACCCCATTACCCCTTTTGTCCGACTTGTGGTGAGGGAATGGAAGCTAAGCTTGATCATATTAAGCATTTATTATTGTTATTATTATTACTGGTTATTTCCTAGGCCCCCGGCTGTGGGATAAATGACTGATGTCTGATCCCTTTAGTGGCATCTAGTTCCCGGGACAGGGAGTATCGCGCCCATTTAGCAGAAGGGAAAACTGTGTCTCAAAGAGGCCACCCTGATTCTCCACGTTCACCACCTGAAGAGCCGACGAGCTTCCATGCAGGCCTGTCCACTGCATGTCGCACTGACCGCTGTGCCCTCAGCGGTCAGGGCCTTCAGAGGTGAACGTCCCCAGGAACGTGTGTGCGTGAGCCTGGGCGCGTGGCCACGGCCCTCACCTGCTGGCCTGTGAGTGTGTGTGTCCCTGAAGGACGGTCTCCGGCCACCAGCTTGGGCCAAACTGCCGACAGGACCAGCTGCAGGGTCTGGGGGCCGTGCAGTCCTGCGGGCTCCTGGTCGGAGATGGTGAGGAGTTGCAGGCGCTGTGGGCAGAGCATGCCACCTGCCTGGGCCCACCTGGCCCAAGGGCCCCGTGGACTGAGCGGGCGGGAGACCCCGGGGCGGCTGCCCCCGCTGGCGGCTGCCCCCGAGGGATGTGCAGGTAGACGGGACGGAGTCTGAGCAGGTGGCCCTCGGGCTCCTGGCTGGGATGGGAAAGAGGTGGGTGTCCCCCGAGCTGGCTCCCCCGGGGTCTCCTTCGTGTGGATTGGGTCTCCTGGCCCAGCCCCCGATTGTGCCTGGGATGGGGACCCCGGTTGGGGGGAGTCCGGCCAGATTGCCGTCCAGAACGGGCTCAGACGCTGGTGTGCACACCTGGTCTGGTTTTGACGGAGTTTTCACCTCTCGGACGTAAAACAGGAAATAAGGACACAGCAGCGAGGACTTCTTAGTCTTTGTTTTTCTCTGCAAAGTACGTTTGTCCCACAGATGGACTCGCCTCTGGCCCAGGGTCACGCTCGTCTTGTGAATCGGGTGTTAAGTGTTCTCTGTCATGAGGTGCTGGTGACAGATTCCAGGGTTTGGGGAAAACTGCTGGGGCTCCAGACGGCCAAGTGTGTGTGCCGTGGGGGTCACGGCCAGAGGGGAGGAAGGCAGGGGCGCGGTCGGCGGGACACCCCTGCCTCTGCACCAGAGGATGGTCCAGTCGCCGCTCAGCGCCTCCGGCCGCGCGGGTCCAGCTACTGCGGAGCAGCCCCAGGGTCCCACCTCCTCGGTTCAGGGAGAAACGCAGCGAAGACGGTGGTTGAAGGGACAGAACAGCCGGCAGCTGCTCAGAGGCCCAGATGCCGTCCTGGGCACAGGGCAGAGGGTGCCGTGGTGGGTGCAACAAGTGAGCTCTATTTTAAGTGCCGTTGACTCAGTCCATCGCGTCTGCCCACGGGCAGCGAACATCTGCTTGGGAAACACTCCTCTTTACTCTCTCCTTCGTGTTTCACCCTCAGAGGTTCCTGGGCCCCTGGCGTGTCCCGCAAGCCCACGGCACCCTTTCGAAAAGGAAGCCTAGGACTATTTCCTCAACACATGAAACTATGATAACGCGACTGGCCGATGTAGCCTAGAGCCCCTCTCGCGGCATTCAGGCAATATTTGGCAAATAAATAAATTTTAAAAAAAATGTTTTTATTGATTTCAGAGAGGAAGGGAGAGGGAGAGAGAAACATCAATGATGAGAATCAGGTAAATAAATAAACGTTAATCAGTTATACTTGCATCGATTTTGTTACAAACCCGGGAGCTGCTTTTCTTTTTTTTTTAAAAAGGGAAGTTGGCCGGGGCGGGGGAGGCCGGCATGGCTACTGTACAGCCACCTTGGCTTCCGGAATCGCGACCGGGCTCGCGGCTCTCAGGAGCCGGTCCAGCGCCGCCGTCCAAGGTCCCCGAGCTCAGCCAAGTGTCCGCGCAGCTGTGTCCCGGGCTGAGTCATCGCCCTCCTCCCGCCGGCCCGGCCTGTGACTCATCGTTCCGCTTTTAGCGTATTTGCCTATTTTTAAGACCAGTTGGAGAAGACAGCCACTGTTTGAAAGTAAACAGGCCACACATCACCGCGGGGCGCAGCGAGCGGCTCCAGGCCCTGGCGCTGCCGGCGGCCGGGGTGCCAAGGCAGCAGATGGCCCGGGAGGCACCGGCTGGCTCGCTCCTCACATCTGTCTTGGGTTTTCTCGTTGCCGCGGCCACTTCCTGCTTGGATTAATCCAACTTGATGCACTTTGGAAACTCAAGTCTGACTTTTATTCTGCTTGTAAATTACCAATTCTGTGTTTATTTCTCCATCAACTAATCGGGCTTCCCTGGCAACTCGAGGTTGAGCCTCTACTTGCTGCCAGCTCGTCAGCGTGGTCCCGCAGACGTGCCGTGCGCTGTGGCTGAGTCAGGACGTAGATTTCTGTCAGGGGCTTCGCCGATTCTGAGGCACACTGGGGATTTGCTATTTTCTTGGCTATAAAAGTGAATTCTTTTTTCCCCAAAATGTTTGTTTTTATTGATTTTTCTATTCTTTTGGGGGGGGGGGAGATAAAACATTGATGAGAGAGAATCATTGGTTGGCTGCCTCCTGCACGCCCCACCCTGGGGATGGAGCCCACAACCCTGGCATGAACCCTGACCGGGAATCGAACCGTGACCTCCTGGTTCATAGGTGGATGCTCCACCACTGAGCCACGCCAGCTGGGCTGTTCTTTTTTTGTTAATCCTCATCAGAGGATATTTTTCCAATTAATTTTTTAGAGAGAGTGAAAGGGAGGGAGGAAGGGGAGAGAAAAAAACATTGATATGAGAGACACACATTGATTGGTTGATTCCCAGGGCCCGGCATCAAACCTGCAATCCAGGTACATGTGCTTGATCGGGAATCGAGCCCTCCACCCCTCTGGCTGATACTCTAACCACTGAGCCACCAGCCAGGGCCAGAGCCCTTCTTCACTGGGGAACAGCCAGAGGCGTTTGCGAAATGCTGGTGTCGGCCCCGGGCTGGACCCTTGTGTGTGTGTGTTGACCGTGAGTGCTGCCGTCCTCTGCGTCCTGTCCGTCTCCAGCGAGAGGCAGCGACGAGCAGGGCGTCCTGCCGGTGGCTCAGCCGCCGGGAGAGAAAGGGCCCAGAGTGAAAGTCTGATTTCCCTTCCAGATGGTGCCCCCACGGAGGACCCCGCGCTGCTCTTCCCGGAACTAGACCAGCAGCTGCAGGTGAGGGCTCTCCCGCACCCTCCTTCCTTCTCGGCTTCAACACAGAGCTGGGCAGTGGCCTGGGAGGCAGACGGAGGGCCCTACTTGTGACCCTCAGTGCAAAGGGGCAGCTCCTATGCTGGGGGGAGAGGAGGAACCCTGGGCCTGGAACGCATAGTCCACTCCCCTCTGTCTGGGCCGAGCAGCGTCCACTCCCCTCTGTCTGGGCCGCGCAGCGTCCACTCCCCTCTGTCTGGGCCGAGCAGAGTCCACTCCCCTCTGTCTGGGCCGCGCAGCGTCCACTCCCCTTTGCCCCCCAACCTTCCCCCCCCCCTTTTTTGGGGCCCGCAGGGGCCCCCCCCCCTCTTTTTGGGGCGCGCAGCGTCCCCTCCCCTCGGTCTGGGCCGAGCAGCGTCCACTCCCCTCTGTCTGGGCCGCGCAGCGGCCTGGCTGGCTGGTGACTTAGTAAACGACGGTGCCGGGGAGGCGACCTCAGCATCCCCGTCCTCGCTCTGCCCCCGCCTTCCCGGGTCTCGGACGGCTTCCAATAGATCAGAACATCGTTACTGAGTGAAGCCTTAGGATCCTGTCTGGTGTGACCCTGAGGACGATGTTGTGGTCACAGTTGCGGAGGCTCCATCGGGGACGCCCAGTTCAATGCGCCGAGTGGTTGGAAAGGTGCTGACTTAGGGCACTTTGCTTCTCGCTAGACCAGCGGTTCTCAGCCTGTGGGTCTCAGCCCCTTTGGGGGTCGAACGACCCTTTCACAGGGGTCGCCTAAGACCATCGGAAAACACAGATATGATTACATATTGTTTTGTGATTCATCACGATGCTTTAATTATGTTCAATTTGTAACCATGAAATTGGGGGTCACCACAACGTGAGGAACTGTGTTAAAGGGTCGCGGCATGAGGAAGGTTGAGAACCACTGGTCTAGACGATAGGGGGTGACTCCAGGCAAACTTGGCTCTGGGACGAGGTTTGGCCTAGAAAGCCTGGACACTGGCCTCGGGCCAAACGTCCACATCACAGGTCACAACACAGGTCATAGGTCATAGGTGATTACACAGGTCGCAGGTCATTGCACATGTCACAGGTCATTGTACAGGTCGAGGTCATTGTACAGGTCAAGGTCATTACACAGGTCATTGCACAGGTCACAGGTCATTGCACAGGTTGAGGTCATTGCACAGGTCGAGGTCATTACATGGGATGCAGGTCATTGCACAGGTCACAGGTCATTGCACAGGTCACCACGAGGCCGCCCCAGGCTCACACCCGCACGTGGACATCTGCTCAGTCACCACGTGCTTTCCCCTAAACGTTGCGTCTGGAAGCCCTTGGAGGGGCTGCAACCTCCAGTTCCCAGCAGACCCGGCGTTTCCTCGCACCCAGCGCCGTCCCCACTGTGGCTGCCTGGTCCCGGGAGGCACTGGAGTTGGGGACCCATCGCCCTCGGCAGCAGGAAGAACAGGGTGGGCCCGTGTCACACGCTGGTGTCCCCTTTCTCGGCCGTTCTCGCCTCGGAGCCTGTGCCCCGAGCTGGGATCCTGGACGCTGGCGGTGCCTGCGGGGGCCCTGGAGGAGCCTCACCTCCCGCCCAGCCCCGCCCAGCCCCACACGGTCTCTGCCCAGCAGGAAGCGCTCAGCAGGGCCTGTCGGGGGTAGAGATGCCGCAGGTCACCCAGGCGTGGGGGCCCCCCCAGGGGTCGCACATTCGCCGTCGGAAGACTTCTCTGTCCCTGCACCCAGCACCCGCCTCCCTCTCCTCCTCGTCCCCGGGGGATCTGCTGCCCTCCGCTGCTTCCTGGTGTCCACACATCCCCCCCTTCCTCTCTTTTCACCGGCTCCGTCTGCGTTTCCATCTGCGTGCTCACACGGCACACGCTCCTGCTGGGCCTCGGGCTGTGTCAGCTGCTGGTGGTCGGGCTGGGGCTGCACGATTATAACCATCTACTGGTCCCCGCCACCGTCTTTTCTGCTTTATTTCACTATCATCCAAGGCTATTTTATTGGCCGGCTGGTGTTTCTCAGTGGTTAGAGCATTGGCCCCTGGACCAGAGGGTTGTGGGTTCAATTCCCGGTCAAGGGCAGGTACCTGGGTTGCAGGTTCGATCCCCAGCCCGGTCGGGGTGTGCGGGAGGCAACCAATCGTGTCGCTCTCACGTTGATGCTTCTCTCTCTCTCCCCCCCCTCCTTCCCTCCCACTCTCTCTAAAAATCAATGGAGAAATATCCTTGGGTGAGGATTAACCAAAGAAATGCAAAAAGAAACAGGAGTGATGCCAGCCCTGCCGCCCGAATGCCCTCAGCTGTGGTGCCACCTGCACAGGAGCTGCCGGGCAAGGGTGTTCCCCACCCACGCTCCCGTGTGAGCCTTGCCACAACCGTGTAGCCGACTGGTACGTCCGCTGAGAAGGGTGAGGTGTCATTTTGGTCTAGATGCAGTCGCCAATTCAGACAGCGATTCTGCTGTGGGTAGACTCCCTTCCCGTCACCTGCTGCTGACCCTGTGGTCAGCTTACGTCGCTTCGATGGGTGGAGGATTGTTTTGCTTCTGGTTTGCAAGGTCGTCATAGGGGGTCATAGAACAACCTCATAAACTCTGCTCTGGCCTTCCGATGGCGGTTACGCATTCCGTGGCCACTTACAAAATATCTGGGTGGTGGAGGCTCTACCACCAGTTTGACCCCCAGGGTTTTTCTGTCGCTTTGCCAAGAATGTGGACATGCTGGAGCATGAAATTCGTGGTGCTGCTATTTTCACAGGAGCCCAAAACAGCCCCGGGCAAGAATAGCAGTGACCCACACTGCTCTTGATGTCTCTATTAATGCAGAATGTTGGGCAAGAGAGCTTGGGGCACGGTAGGTGTTAAAATGAACATCCCTGCAAGACATTCATTTATGGGCCGTGGGCCTCGGCCCAGGGGCAGGTGGTAGGTTGGTTCTATTTTGTGTGGATTCCTTTCCTGGAAATGGGTTTCTAAGTTCTCCGTGCCCCTCAGGGGCCGCGTGTGGGCAGAGCGCGTTCAGACCATGCAGGGCCCAGCCTGTGTCCACTTCTAAGAATGAATGAAACGTCTTTAGGCCCCTGTGTCCTTCCATTTGGAAAAGGTCAGGACCGACCTCCTCTCTCTTTAGAAAGATAGGACAGGAATTTAACTGGGTCAGGACCGAATTTGTCTTCACATCTAATGACGTTGCTACGTTTTGGAGACCCCGGTATGGCCTATAGATGCTCCAAAGCTAAGCTGCAATGTGGTCTTGATTATTAGCACTGGAATGAGGAACCTGTTTCTGTACTCGGGCATCGGCCAAGCTAACGAGTGGATGCTGATGGGAATCACAGGGACGGGCAGGAAGCGGGCTTGGCGTTGGATTGGCCGGGATTGGCGCTCAGCTCCACACCCAGCAGTTCTGTGATCCCGGGAATGAATGCTATTCGCTCTCTAAGCCTCACTTCTCTGCACTGCAACGTGGAGATAACACCTCGCCCGCGTCGCTGTTGTGGGATTAACTGTGAGAACGAGCAGCGCTGGCACAGTGCTCGGCAAAATGATGGCTCAGTCCATGTTCGTTCTCTTCCCTGGTGAGCCGTTTGCTGAGCGAAGCAGTGACGGAAGCACAATTCTGTGTCGGATGCAATAAGAGGAGCATCTCTCCGGAGCTTTGGGTTGGGATAGAGTTTGGAGGCCGTCGTCTTGTCTTCATGAAGTTAAGGGACTTGAAAACAAGGCGAATTTTTTTTTAAGCAAATTGAGCAATAGCCTCCCCCTCTGCCACCCCTACCCCAAGTCTCCCGTCAATTCTGAGCCGAAGGGACAGGTGTCTCGGTACACACTGAACTGGCCTCTCCTCGGACAGTGTCTGGTCAGTGCAGAGCTGAGGTCAGCTCCACGAATAAACAGTGCGTAGCTCGAGCTGTGCACTGCATATCTCGTTATCCGAGCTGTACCTCCAGACACTTCCTTTAGGTCTTGCATCAACAGATCCCTGTGGCTGGGAAGGAAACTGGGAAACAGAAAGGAAGTCAGCCTTCCAGGTTCTCAGCCATCCGGCGGGAACGGCTGCTTTTCCCCCCTCAAACATGTTGAAAAGTCCCCTGCAGTGTCTCTGGCTGCTGTGACCAGAGGAAACACAGATAGATCTTTGGAGCTTTCGAATGGTACCTTTTTTCCTTCTTTTCTTTTCAGAAACACAGGGGTCATGAGGGTGTGCCTTGTAGGAGAAGTTTGAGACACCCTGGAGTTGCCACCCTTCGCACTGCTTATGTCAACGGGAATGACTTACATACTCGTTCCAGTGTTAGATAAGGCGTAAGAGACGCCGCACACACATCTACTAGTGCCGACCATCATGCAGAGACTATAAAATGTCAGTTCTTAAAATGTTTTAAAAATAATTAAAATTCTAGATAACAGCATTTTCAAATATTGCAATGAGTGCTGAGTATTTTTTCCATTTAGTTTTAACAAATTATGCTTGTTAATTTGGGGTCATTAAAGTGCAACATGGCCTTAGCCAGTGTGGTTCAGTGGACAGAGCGCCGGCCTGTGGACTGAAGGGTCCCAGGTTTGATTCTGGTCAATGGCTTGGTCCCCAGTAGGGGGCGCGCAGGAGGCAGCTGATCAATGATTCTCATCACTAATGTTGCAATCTCTCCCTCTCCCTTCCTCTCTGAAATCAATAAAAATATATTTAAAAAAATAAAGTGCAACATAAATTTAAACCACTCTTTCCCCCTCCCCCCAATGAAAGGTAACATCGAGAATTAAGGAATAAATACAAAGTCTGCTCGGCAACCATAGAATATTTAGCTTCCTAAATATATCTCGTGTGTGGGCAGCTGGAGAGGAAAATTAACTTCTTACATTGTCAAGGTGGACGGGCCAGCAGGACTTGAAGGAGCCAAGGAGAAAACAGAAACGCTGAGACTGGCTCTGCCCCTGTGGAGAGGTTTGGCCGGGCCTGTCCCGCGGGGCCCTGTCCAGGGACCGGGGCCATTTCAGGAGGAGCTTGCCCACACCGTGGCCGGCGGACAGCGAGATGGGGTGGCGTGGCAGGGCTGGCACTCCTGCACCAGGAGCCTGCGGTTTCTCGGTTACTTCATCTCGTTAAATCGGTCCGGTGAGTGGGTGGGGACCAGAGTGAGGGCTCCACCGCACCGCGTGTAATTAAAGCGCTTGGGAGCTGGTCCCAGCAGCTGGGAGGCGGGGGCGGGAGGGCCGGAGGAAGTGCCCTCCTGGGCTCTGACCCTCCACGCAAACCCCGGGCCGTGCCTTGGAAAAGTGTCTCCGTGTTGGCTGGAGACACCGTTGGGAGAATGTCTTCATTTAACCTTCTTAGAACCGGACGTGTTGCGAGTAGAGCAGACCCCCCTCGGGGCCCTGGGTGGGCCTGCAGAGTGTTCCGGGATCCGCGGTGTGTGCACTGTCCGTGAGGGTGCCTCCACCTCTTCCTCTTCCGATCAGGGGTCTTCCACGAACCCCACGGCTGCCGGACAGGTGCAAGCCCCCTCTGGTCAGCATGACCCGCTGTGCTCAGGGGCGTTCACATCACCGGACACTCACTCCCCCTGGGAGACTCACCAGAGAATTTCTAAACACACGTGTCTTATCCCAGTAGGAATTCTGCTGAGTAAGAGTAGTAAGGTATTTAGGTTTCATACCTGAAATGAAAAGTAGAACCATAGAGTAACGAAATGTGATGCTCTGTGTGACATGGGACACTCATTGCTCTGTGTGACATAGGGCACGACCTCCAGGCGGAGTGAGTGTCCGGTGATGTGGGTCCTGCTGACCAGAGGGGGCTTGCACTTGTCCGGCAGCCGTGGGGTTAGTGGCTCCCGATGTTAAAGGGGCAAGAAGTTTTCAGTTCCCAGGGTCCTCCTCCTTGGAATGCAGCCTCTCACTCTTCAAGCTGGAGTGTGGGAGGATGTGGCATCCTCGTGGAGAAATAAGAAATGTTCCTCCTCCCGAGGCCACAAGAAATTCCCGTCCCCACAAAGAGTTTATTTATTGCTCGTTCGCTCCCAGCCCGGAAATAACTACAAAGCTCTCTTGGATGAGAATAGTTAAAATTAAGCAATGAGAACTGAAGCAAAAATAAAAGTGTTAATTCTTATTCCAAGAAGTTAACCGACTATTTCATCCGGTTACCACAGGCTTTCCTTTAAGATACTTTTAAGTTTTTAGTGTGAACATGTGTCAGTATCTGACACGCATGGGGGCCAGTTAACGCCCCCGTGCCCGTTTTCTATGTCCCATGACGGGAGCTGACTGGTAGCTCTGTGTCTAAAGTGGAAACTTGATCCTGGTGCTTGGATTTCCGGAATCTATTCCCTCAGGCAGATCTGTCCATGGACCCTATTGTCACACAGTGTCTCCTATTCTGAGGGGTTGTAAGAAGGTAAGAGAGAGGATCTGAGATGCTACACACAAACACATGCACACAAACACACAAACACGTCACGTACACACACACACACACACACACAAACATGTCACGTACACACACACACACGCAAACACATTATATCGCAAAGCAATGAGTGTCCCATGTCACACAGAGCATCACATTTCGTTACTCTATGGTCCTACTTTTCATTTCAGGTATGAAACCTAAATATCTCACTACTCTTATTCACCAGAATTCCTACTGGGATAAGACACGTGTTTAGAAATTCTCTGGTGAGTCTCCCAGGGGGAGTGAGTGTCCGGTGATGTGAACGCCCCTGAGCACAGCGGGTCCTGCTGACCAGAGGGTGCTTGCACCTGTCCGGCAGCCGTGGGGTTCGTGGCTCCAGATGTTAAAGTTCCCGGGGAGCAAGGTCGGGCACGGAGCTGAGCCTCGGACAGGGCCTCCCGGCAGCAGAGTTTGGAAGATGGGCTGGGCAGCAGGAAGATTTAATGATAACTCTTTTCTGCATTAAATTTTATTGGTTTCAGAGAAGAAGGGAGGGAGAGAGGGAGAGAAATATCAATGATGAGAGAGAATCATGGACCAGCTGCCTCCTGCTCGCCCCCCACTGGGGATTAAGCCTACAACCGGGGCTTGTGCCCTGACCGGGAATCAAACCGCGACCTCCTGGTTCATAGGTCGACACTCAACCGCTGAGCTACGCCGGCCGGGCTGCATTAACTTTTTTTATTCTGGTAAAGAACACGTATTGTAAATGCTACCATCTCAGCCACTTCTGAGCGTGCACTCGGGGGTAAGCACATTCACGCTGTCGTGGAACCATCTGCAGACCTTTCTCTTCTTGCAGACGGACCCGCTCCCCCTTACACAGCAGCTCCTCCCTGCTCAGCCCCTCGCAACCACACGATCATTTTACCGTGTCGTGGTGGGTTGTGCAAGATAACGCCTCTCTCTGTAAAAAGACTGATCTTGCTCTCCAGGGCGTTCATGCAGAGTGGGAGGCCTGGTGTGGTGCGGCGTTTACGGGGCAGGTTGGGGTGAAGAAGGAGCTCGTAGGACCAGGCACGTTTCCTCCCCGGAACGCTGAGCATGTTTGGTTTGTGCTTTTAAAATTGGTGTTGCTTCTTACCCGTGGGAAATCTTTAAAACATGATTATGTACTAGAGGCCCGATGCACGAAATTCCTGCATGAGGCTCGACCTCCACTGCCACGGCGGCTGCGGGCCTCTGCCTTGGCCCCTGCCTGCCACCAAGGACGTCCGGTCTAATTAGCGTATTATGCTTTTATCATTATAGATGAGTAGCATGGCCATGCTGCTAAGCGCACACGAGGACATAGAATATCCTGAAACGTCCCCTCTCCTCAAATGCCCTTAGCAGAGGGCAGTTAGGGATGACCAGGCTGGCAGGGGAGGGCAGTTGGGGGTGACCAGGCCTGCAGGGAAGGGCAGTTGGTGGCAACCAGGCTGGCAGGGGAGGGCAGTTGGGGACGACCAGGCCTGCAGGGCAGGGCAGTTGGGGGCGATCGGGCCGACAGGGGAGGGCAGTTGGGGGCGATCGGGCCGACAGGGGAGGGCAGTTGGGGGCGATTGGGCTGGCAGGGGAGCAGTTAAGCATCAATCAGGCCAGCAGGGGAGCAGTGATCAGCAGGCAGGCAAGCGGTTAAGAGACATAATTATGTCTTTGAATTTTCCACAATTAAGAAACGCTAATAAAAAAAGAACCTGTGAACCCTGGCTGGTTTGGCTCAGTGGATAGAGCATCAGCCTGCAGACTGAAGGGTCCCAGGTTTGATTCTGGTCAAGGGCACATGCTCAGGCTCGATCCCCAGTGGGGGGAGTGCAGGAGGCAGCTGATCCATTATACTGTCACATCATTGATGTTTCTATCTATCCCTCTCCC